TTTTTTTTCACTGTTTTCGTTTTTGGTACCAGGAATTGAACTCAGGGCCTTGGGCTTGCCAGGCAGGCGCTGTACCACTGAGTTACATCCCTGGCCCAAGATTTAAGATTCTAAGAAGCATAACAAAAGGTTTTTAGAAGAACTGGCATTTTTGCTATCTTCTTTAAGATGGTATTTCTAAATAACAAACATTTCAACAACATAGAAAAAGGGTTGAAGAGTCAAACTATATACATGATTCTATATTTTGGTAAATATTTGTTCTGGCTTATTGTGATATTCCTCAAAATGGCATAAAGAAACAGCATAATACTGTACTTTTAAAACACACTCACATAGCCAGTCAAATGAGTAAATGTGGAAAAGATCACACTTGTCACATTAAGGCCAAAGAGGAAGAAAAGGTGATCACACTCCTCAAAAGTAGTAGTAATACAAAGGCCTTGAATAGCTCCATAGGCACCTCTGACTGCAAAGGATAAACACAATTGCAAATGTGTATCCAGTCAGTGTGTGTGTATACCCCCAGTCCCCCAAAACAAAAAACCATGCCTACCAACTCCTTGAAGAAATGGCTGATTCCAGATCTGGGGCAGGTAAAGTACAAAGTGAGTACAGAAAAACAAGATGTTTTGTGTGCTATAAAGCAAGTGCTGGAAGAATCATGGGGCATGTCAAACACAGCTTGAAGGGGCTTTACTGGCCAAATCCAAGACACTTTGTAAACCAAAATAATGACAGTAATGGATAATAACCCATTCAATAAGAATCCACAAGTCTGAACTGAGAAAGGAAGTAAGTAAACAAACAGGTAAAAGGACGAAGTTCTTCCCTAGAAGAGCCTGCCAAATGATAAATGATGGAGTCAGAAATAGCTGCTAAAGCTATTATTGCATTTAAATATGATTAGCAACAGACACTCACACAATCTCTGAATATCTCTCTGCCACTTTTAAAATTACTAATAGCAACTTTACAGTGGAAAAAAATCTAACTATCATTACCTTAACCAAATGAAGTTAAGCGGAATGGGATGAATACATTTCATATACTTCTTTGTATAATGCACTGAAAACAACCGACTATCACTTCTGGAGTATTCTTTTTTTTTTTTTTTTCCCTACCCCAAGATAGGATCTTACTAAATTGCCCAGGCTGGCCTAGAACTTGCACATTTCCTGTCTCAGCCTCCCAGTAGCTAGGATTATAGGCCTGTACCACAATGCACAGCACTTCTTGTAAAAATCTTGCCACAAATGTACAACATAAATTTAATCAGGAGGAAACATCAAACAAACCCAAACTGAAGTACAGTCCATAAAACAACGAGCCTGTATACTCTTAATCAATGTGTGACTGCAAAATGTAATGAATAATTATATATTATAAAAATGTATTACATATTGCCATTAATTCTCAAAATACTTCCCCTCAGTTTGAACATATTTATCCCTTTATTCTTGGCACTTTCTGGAGCGGATCTGGATAAAAATACACTGAATCTTGCTGCCAAGCGCCATCCAGCAGAAAGGCAGTCTTGTAAAAACACTATGGTGTATCTTCCTCAACCTTATTCACTGAATCTAGCCCTGTGCAATTTCTGGCTCTTCCCCAAAGTCAAAATGACCGTGAACAATAAATGTTATGCATCTTCAGGACACTAAAGCAGCCACAACAGCACAGCTAACGATGCCAGGCATGGGGCACATGCCTGTAATCCAGCACTTGGGAGGCTGAAGCAGGAGGATCGCCATGAGTTTGAGGCTGCCACGTGACATAATGAGTTCGAGGCCAGCCTGAACTCCATAGAGAGACTCTCAAAAAAACTAAGGAAAAACAGACACACGTGAAAGAGGACTTCCAGAGCTGCTTCAGAAAGTGACAAGAAAAACAGGATGTGTTCAAAGTGAGGGGAGAATTCTGAGGCAAATTAATGGCAACGTGTCTTTTAAATTTTAAAATTTTAAACACTCACAACAATTTTTGAACACCTCTCATACATACACACACACAAACATACCCATCTACCTACATATACCTAATAACCACCAAAAATCATTGCACATAGTCTTATGAGGAAGGGACCCAAGCTAAAAAGCACATCTAAGAGGACATTACTATAATAAATTTAAAAGTATAATTTTTAAAAATATGTTACTCATAGTTCACATAATGGTTTGATAAAGCACATGGGGCAAACCAGCTCTAACAGAAAAGAACTTACTCTAGCCAGAAAAAACTAAAGTACACAAATGATTAATCTGCAAATTCAAAGTAAGAAATTCCCTCTCATTCTGTAAACCATTATGTTATAAACATAGAATATTATATTTTGAAGGGGACTTTGCAATTACTTCCTATGCAAAAAAGAAAGCTCTTACTCAATAATTATTTTCATTGAAAATAAAAAATCAATAACAAATATCAAATTTACCTTTCGTAGCAAATCTCATGAATAACCTATTTCCTTTAGCAAGCTTGTTAGCTGGACGAAGGTCATTTCTTAACAGAGACTCTTCTTCTACTTGAGACAATGTGTCCAACTTAAGAAAAAAAAAAAAAAAGCCCATGGTGAATTCCTGCCATCCTATCTAGTGAAAATCTGTTCTCTCTAATGTTTTTTAAAAATTATTATTTTCTTATTCTCTTTAATGGTTTGATCAATCTTCCATTCTTACATCTGGTAACTGGAGCAACTTTGTAAAAGATAACAATATGTAATATAACAACCACTGTTAATCCCTATCATTTGGTTTGAAACACCCTATCATTTTTAATGTCCTTGCTATGTTTTGTTTGTATTTTGCTATTGTTCTTTTTTTTACTATTCTCTTTAAAATAAAAAATAAAATTAAAAAAAATAAACTAAAAAAAAGAGCATTTTCAATGTAAAAATGAAAGCCTTTTTAGCATTCATCCAGGAGACAAGTCACCCACCATTAAGAAAGCAGATCTTTAATGCACTTTCAACATTATAGCACTAATTCTATAAAATGTCAAAGCCGGAGGTCTTCCCTGTCCACTCTGTCTCAAAGAATAGTCTCCATCATCCTTTACCCCTTTAATCTCTTTACTTCTCCTTGATGGCACTCATCCTGTCCTAATATCATGTATCTACACATCTGTATATTGCCTGTCTTTCCCACTGGAAGGTAGGTTCCAAGATGGTAAGGACTTTACTTTGCTTGATCATCTATCTATAGTTTCTTACAAGACTGGTTCATATTAGGCACTCAGTATTTACAACAAATACATTCTAATATTTCTAACAATACTACCTAACCTATTAGGAAGTATGTAACTACTTGCCCTTTTTTTTTCCTTTTTTGTTTTTTGTGGCGTTGTGATCAAACCCAGGGCCTCATACATAGAAAGAAGATATTCCACCCCTGAACTACACCCCTACTTCTACTTGCTTTCTCTTAAGCTTACTGATTAGATGACACTTCAAAGTATTTCTCTTTATTTATTTATTTATTCTTGGTACCAGGAACAGAACTCAAGCGCTTATGCTGCTGAGCTATATCCCCGGCCGAAAATTTTATTACCTATTTAACTTTTTTTTTTTTGGTACCAGGAACTGAACTCAGGACCTTGAGCTTGCCAGGAAGCAGCTTAAGCCACTAAGCTATATCCCCAGCCCTCAAAATATTTCTCAATAAAACCATCTTTTATGCAGAAGTCTGAATAGTATTCTAACATCTCAAGATAAACTGTTACATTTGCACACACTCAAAATCAACAGCCTGATACACCCTAGAAAATCTCATGGAAGAAAGTGAGGAAGAGCACAGCTTATTAAGTCTTTCAGCCTTACCTTGAGAAAGAGAATAAGCAGTATTTTAGATTTTTTTCTTTGGTACCAGAAATTGAACTCAGGACCTTGCACTTGCCAGGCAGGAACCTACGCCACTGAGCTGTATCTCTGGCCCTTAGCAGTATTTTAACAATAACATGTTACAGACATTCTTCCCTATTACTAACCTCTACGTCACTTGGGTTCTCGTCTTCAACTTCTCCTTCTTCAGCCTCCTCATCATCAGAACTGTCTTCCTGTTTGTCTGAAATGGAACACAAGGCATAAGGTTAACCTTAACATAATTCCATCTGATAATTTAATTTTTTTTTTTTTTGGTTTTTTTGAGACAGGATCTCACTATGCATTCCAGGCTAGCCTTAAATTCATCTTCCTGCCTCAGCCTCCTGAGTGCTGGAATTATAGGCATGTGCCACTACAGTTCTACTGCTACTTACTAGTGATCCAAAACATCAGTTTCTTTCAGAGACATCTGACGATGAGATGCTATATACTACTCTGCTTAGAAACCCATAGGCCCCAACAAAGACTACATAAAGAACAGGTCTTTCAGGTCAAAATTCCTGTCTTTGTGCTCACTTACCTTTTTTACTTTTCTCAGATGATTTATCTTCACTGGCGTCCCTGCTTCTTATCTTATCCTGGGCTGGCAGGGAGCTCATATTGATAAGGGCTCGTGTGGCTGTCATTTCATCCAGCCAAACCACATTACCTAAAATAAGATGTAAAAGAAAACACTGAACTGCACCCAAATGCTAAATTTCTTTTTCTCTTTTTTTTTTGGTTTTTTTTCCGGTACCGGGAATTGAACTCACGACCTTGTACTTGCCAGGCGGGCGCTGTGCCACTGAGCTAAATCCCCAGCCCCTCCAAATGGTAAATTTCTTAAGAGCAGATTCTGTATCACATTCACCGTGATAGACTCCGCTACAGAAGGGCATCAGTAAGCATGCACACCAGCTAATGAGAGGAAGGATAAAAGTGGTGGCAAAAACTCCTTGAAGAACTTAGCTTGAACTGCATTTCCAAGCTGGGTTCCACAAAGTAGTTGTTAAGTATTCCCTGAATACAGAGTCTACACATTAAAACTAAGAGGAACACAGAGAGTACTAACAGCGTTAGTACTGCCTTTCTTTTTAATGGAGTCTTGCTAAATTGCACAGGCTGGCCCCAAACTCCTGGATTCAAGTAATTCTCCTGCCTCAGCCTCCTGAGTAGCTAAGACTACAGGTGCAAAATATTAACAGTTTATCATGAGACATCTGATGATGAGACATCTGATGCCTGGCAAAATACAAACAGTTCTTGATGATGACAACTGCCAAATAAATTTGAATTATCTATTGTACTACAGTCGCCTGCAGGGGAACTCTCTGCTATTCTTTATCATCTGACATGCTAAATGATGTTCCCACATCGTAAAGTTTGATGATCAATAAAGGTAAACACAGAATATGTACAATGGAAGCGAAACAGCTACTTGACTTTGTAGCAACTAATTAAGTTATCCCTTTAAGGAAATGAATTAAGAAAAAGGCTCTGAGAAGTCTTGTAGAAAAAAAAACTCTCACACTGCCTTAAATGGTATTTCTCAAAATAGTGCCTTCCCTATACCTCAGTTTAGGAAATCAAAGCCTGAGGACTCTTACTTCTTTTACTAACATACTATGTAGCCTTGGCCAAATAATTTCCTTTCTCTGTTTTCCCAGTTTCATTTTTCATTTTTTTCCTTTTCAGTTTCTGATGTAAAATATGAGGCAGTTGAACTGGATAATTTTAATGATCCCTCCAAATCTAACATCCAATAGTTCTATGACTTAAATCAAGGGCTAGCAAACTATAACCCACGGGCCAAATCTACTCCTTCATTTGTTACTTATCTTTCTTGGTAGCAGATTTACAGTAAGTCCCCAACTCAGGAACATTTGAATTTCTAACTTATGCAGATATGAATGGACCTCACACCAGAAACATTTGTAGATGCGAACAAATCACAGAAGTAACTCATGTGTCTGCCGGGCATTGGCACAGGTGTGCTGCTGTGTGCTTACTGTACAGTGTGGTACTGCACTGTGGTACAGAGCTCAATCAGGATGTCTGGAAGCAAGAGGAGAAGCAGTGGTGATGTGGAGGGGACTGCTAGGAAGCGCAAAGCAACAACCATGGGAGCAAAAGTGAAAATACGGTATAAGACTCACTTTGTCGGACTTAATCACAACCGTTCTCCCAGAACAGAACTCATTTGGAACTTGCTATATTTAGGTTTAAAGCCTAAACTACTTGCTATGCAGCCCTTTATAGAAAACGGTATACTGACCCCTGATTTGGAGAGTATAAGTTAGCAGAAAGAAAAATGGAGAAAAACCTTTTACCTAGTTATGTTTCTTCTTTCAATGAAAACACTACATCAACATCTTCAGAGAGCAGCTGAGAAAACTGGCTGCTATCTAGCGCACCACCTAGTAGGTCAGCCAGCCGGCAGCAAGTGAAGCCAGACCAGAAGGAAGTCAGGACAAGAAGCGAGCAAAGTGCTCACCAGAGCTCAGGCCAGACTGAGCAGAGAGGCGAGTCAGAAATTACAGTTGGCTCACCAACGGGACAACTGACAGGTTACGGCAAGCAGATGACATCCCAGAAAGCACAGTGTAAGGCACACAGAGGTGAGCAGTCTGCTACAATGTCAGGGCATTCTGGACTAGTTCTAGGTTAGATACACTGAGCCAGAGTAAAACCCTCTTAATAACTGCATGGGCAACAGTAATGACAAAGTCCAAAGGCCTAAAAAGCACAACCCTAAATCTACATAGTTAGATCTATCGCTCTACTGGGGAACTGTGGGTGTTAAAGAGCCCTCAATAGTGTACAACAGACCCAGATGCCAGTAACCAACGTTCTTAGAGCCTGGGGCATTACCTCCAACCTGACTTAGAATACCCGCGGGGTATGAGTTGGCAGACCAGTTGAGGCATGCTGGTTCTTATCAATGAGCAATTTTTTTTCCTCCCAGGGTAGAGCTTAGGCATAAACAAGTAGTTTGGGCCATAATAATTTAACATCTCAGGCAGTAAGAACTCTCTGAAAAGGCGCTGCGATGTAGCTCAGGGGAATAGCACTTGCCTGGCAAGTGCAAGGTCCTGAGTTCAATTCCTGGTACCACAAAAAAAAAAAAAAAAAAAAGAACTCTCTGAAAAGCATAAATAAAGGTATATTTAATAGAATACTTAGGTGTACTTACAGGAGGTATCATCCAACCATTCAATATGAGCTGGAGGATATTCTTTAAAATAGGAAAAGATATCCTGGGTACTCATCTCATCTACTCCACAAATATAGATGGTCTCCAGCCTCACTTTGGGAATTGCTAGAAAAACAAGACACAGAAAAGATGAGACAATTTCCCCACTTGCTACTGCACGTCTCACTAGTACACCTTAGTAACAGCTCAAATGAAATTTACTTAGAAAACAGATGTCCCCAAAATCACAGTTATTTCAAAAGAACATGAAAGACAATAATTAACACTTTTAATTTTTATCACCAATCAACATTAAAAATTGTTTAATTCAGAACAGTCATGTTAGGCTCGGAAACATTAAACAAATACTGTTGGTAAAATACCTCCCTCCACATTAATCTGTAGTAATAAAGCAACACCAAACTCAAAAGGATTATTCTCTGAACTTGACAAGCTGGTTCTACCATTTTTTTAATACATGTCAAAGAGAAATGTGCAATGTGGGGACAATCCAAAAGAAGAGATGCTGTCCCTGGGTATATTAAAGCATGAAACTAGAGTAAAGAAATTATAGCGAAGCACAGCAGCATATTCCTGTAACAGCTACTGGGGACACTGAGGCAGAAGGATTGCCAAATTTAAGTCCAATCTGGCCAGCTTAGCAAAACTGCCTCAAAACAGCAATATAAAAAGGGCTGGGGATGTAGATCAGTGGCAGAGTGCCCCTGGGTCCAGTCCATAGTACCACCAAAAAAGAAAAAGAAAAATGAAATCACAGTAAAGAAGTCCTACCAATCAATAAGGAAATGACAACCCAAAATAAAAATAAAAATGAGCAACGGATAAAAACAGCCAATTTACACAAAAGAAAATACAAAAGGCCAATAAACATGAAGAGATGGGAATTGATGTTCCTATTAATCAGGAAAATTTACATTAAAATAAGATAGTGTGCAGGAAAAGTTACTTTCCCTGCTAGCAGAAGTATGACCTCCACAACCATTCTGAAGGGCAAACCAAGACACATTACACAGGAATAAGAATTCTATTCCTCAGTCACCACCTTAGAATCACACAAATGGGTTCACAAAGTAGCTCACACATGCCAGGCATGGTGACCCACACCTGTAATCTCAGCACTCAGGAGGCTGAGGCAGGAGGATCATTGCGAGTTTAAGATCAGCCTGGCTACAAAGTGAGCTCACGGCTGGCCTGAACTGCACAGCGCGACCCTGTCTCAAAAAAGATAAAAAACAAAACAAAAAAACAAAGTAACTCACACAAAGATGTGTAGTACAGCACTACTTCTTCTTTTTTTTTTTTTTTTTTTTTTGTAACAGGAATCGAAATCAGGACCTTGCGCTTGCCAGGCAGGTGCTTTTGCCGCTGAGCTAAATCCCCAGCCTGTACTTCTAATAATCCAGTAGCACCGGGCGTGGCAGTGCACACCTGTAAT